CACATTTTGACTTTGTTTTTGGTCAATATTCTTCCGAATTCATCTGAATTTCTTCATAAAAATTACATATGGACAATTGTCATCACAATGTATCATCTACTCAACAAACTCAACCATTTCGACCAAGTTAACAAACACAAGCTACTCCCCAAAGACATGTTTCTCAACCATCACAAGCTAATCAACAAAAGACAAATAAATTGAGTGTTAGGAGAGCATCAATATCCAGTGTAACTCCAGGATTTACAACTAAATTAAGTACAACTATGAATACAGTTGACCCAACAACAACAACAACGAGGACAACTCCACACAAAAAACCACTCCATACAAGAAGACCAATTAACATATTTAAGAGTTCTTTGAATGTTTGATTAGCATATTTTAAAGAGTCCATTTATGTTTTGTTACAACATATCTTTTGAGTTCATTTTACGACAAATGTAATGCTTAATTTTGAAAACTAGTATTAACAGGTTTCTGTTGAATTATGATCTCATTGTATTGGCATATGTGACTCTAGTATAATGTCACTGGTACATAATAATAGTTAACAACGAATTCATTTTGTTAATAACAAATCAACATAAATAAGATGGTACATTTTGAGAGTTAACAAAATGGTACATACAGAGTTTTATACCAATACATGAACAGAGGTTCTTACTGATACATAACTGAGTTAATACCAAAACAGAAAGGAACAAAATGATAACATTACATTATGGGAAAATAACTGATACAAAACGATACCATTAAAACATCCTTAAAATTAATACAGTGAAAATAAGATAAAACGTATTCTTTCAAAAAAAATTCAATCTTAATATTCTTCATTTGAGTTTGAAGTTCCAACAAATATGCCTTTTGTTACTCATTTGTCACTCTTAGCTTTTCAACCTCCATTTTTGTTGCATCAATTTCCTTTGATAACTTTTCCAACCTATGCTTTTACCTCACCAAAAAATGCCCATTATCATCTCCCACTTCCTCATAGAATAAATCAAAAAAGTCACACCCAGCTTGAGTAGATCCCTATAAAAATCAAGCAACGAAAGAACAATGTTATATCAGAATTTGAGAAAGATTAACGTTTTTCAAAACTGAGAAATCTTACCTTAAAATGCGGACAGTCCTAAAATTGTTTTCCAAAATTGCTAATTGTTGTTGCTCTGCAAATAACATCTATGTCTCCACAACGACAACGACAAGTAGGTTTCTATCACAAATTGAAACTTGTGTATACCTTAAAATCAAAACATCTGAGACTTTTCTGTTTTATAGCGAACGAACAACAACCATAACTCATGGTTGATAGAACGCAATTTCAAACAATGGGGATGGAGGAGCAATGAAGACTTTACCCTAATTCGATTTAGGGTTGTTTATCTTCTACATAAATAATGATTTTCAAAAATAATGGGTGCCAAAACAAAAAAGAAGAAGTAAGAATGTCAAGTCAACTGCCACGAGTACACACATAGACGTTGTTTGGATTAATTTAACTGAAGGGGCTTATCTAACACTGTTTGGAGAGATAATGAATGGAACCGGTCATTTTAGAATTGATGAACAAAAATAGGCACCGAGGTAAAGATACGAAACTAAAAAGAGTATTTATCATAGTTTATTTTGACTTCATTATGTATTTGTAAAATACATTGTCAAGAGTATTTGTAAAACAAAATCAAAATTTACTATTTGGTGTGAATTTAAAAATGCATCTCAATATCCTATCTGAAGTAAATAGGAAAATGCATCTCCAAATCAATTTATGTCAAAATGAACATCTCAATTAATAATGCATGGGATGCATATAGGTTAATCCAGAGGTAAATCTCCAGACTAAATTTTGGTGGAAATAAAAGGATGAAACTGACTTAAGGATGTGTTTGAGAGAAAAATGTATCAATAACAATAATTAGATTTTAATTCTTTTAATTATTCAACTTTGTAAATAAGTTGTTTACCCATTCTTCAGGCTAAAGTCTAGCACTTGATTAGTGGAGTCCAGCACTTGATTAGTGGATAATCAGTAGAAAATTCACTCCAAATTAGATTTGTTCACATGTATTTATACTACTAAAAACTAATAACAAATTATCAATTTCATTTACAACTTATCTCTCTATATGCATTCCCAAAATATTTCCAAAACCTAAAGGACATTTTAGGATTTTTAAGGTGTTTTTCCACCACTTAAGATGGGTTAAGCAACCCCCAACTTTAATTTTAATCAAATGTTACGGATTGGTTTTAACAGAGGAGAAAGACAAATATGTCAAAAGAGATCACGTGGAATTTTATTGGGAGATTCAGCGCCTCTTTAATTTAGTGTCCAAAAAGCATTTTCACAAGAAAAATTCAACTGAAAACCCTTTCCCTCGCAACAGAAATACACAACTAAAAGAACATTCCCACAAATGATCTGAGGTTTTCAACTTCCCAAATTATTTTGGTTGTGACCAAGAGAAGATGACCCAATCAAACATCCGAGTTAGAGACAAGGAGGGAGTCAACATAGTCTTCTCAGACAGCTAAACCACTGATGAGTAGGGACAAACTCGTAATTCCACATTATACATTATAGTCTGATGATATATGTACACATATGTACATCAATTTAATAAAGATCTACATACTAAGCATGAAGCACAATTAAGTTTGCAATTCTTTTAGCATGGAAATTCTGTACAGCAACTGCCAGCAGGTAGATCATCCCCACACGAGCTAAGATCTAAAGCTTTATGCACCAAGTAAATCATTCTAGAGACATGTGAAAAGAGGAGATATTATTACAAGTACACACTACACAAACTAATCTACTCTGTTACTTAATAAATACCCTAACATTAAGAAAACGGAAAAGAAACTATCAAAGTTACAATTGATATGCTAACACAATCAACATGAACAGCAAGCAGCATGCGATTACCTGAAACAATTGATATCCTAAAGTCTATATTTTTTACACCAAATTCCCAAGACTGAAATCAGGTTTTCAACAGAACTCCCAGCCCACAAGGAGATTTATATTTTATGTTTGCCCATACCAGCCCAAAGAAAATCTATCATCATTTTCCCAATGAATATTTAATAAGTTCAAGAGTGAGTAAGGGCAATCTGATCATCCAAGAAGAAAGCATACTCCTACAGAAATCAAGTAATGGCATTGAAATTGATATGAACATAAACTCAGTTTTAGCATGCAAACCTGAAAGTGCTGTACAATTTCCACAGAGACATGATAGCATGGACTAAAGCTCTTTTGATTAGCCAGGGGGAAGTGTAGAACATGATAAATTAGCATTTAGAGAACCTATTTCCTCTCTGCAGAGATTTGTCCAGCCAAAAAATCTGTATTTACAATATCACCAACAGTGTTTCAGCAGCCAAGGAAGAAAAGAAAGCGAAGACAGGAGATGTCTTATTCACGTGTCAGACCTTAATATTGCAACTAAACAAGTATAACTTGACCTAAACTAGGAAGAAGGAACCAATAGTTGTCTGGCCAAGAACCTTGGAACTCCGGTCCAGACCATGAGAGGCAACCTAAAACAAGAAAACCATAGATTGAATACCCATTTGTATTTTTAAAAAATAGAAACACAGATAAGGTGTGAATGTGAGTATAGAATATTTCATCACCATATATGTCAAAGCAGCATAACGCTCCTCATTTAGGAAGATTGGCTTGCCTCTATTCATTTCAAAATCCTGAGTAAAGAATACTAAAAATGAGAGATAGTTTGAAGAAAAGAAGACAAGAATCAAACTAAATAGAATTCCAAAACAAACAATAACACATGCAAAGTTAATTACTTCACTAGAAGTGTAGACATCTGATGGAAAAGATAGAAGAGACAGTCTGAACTACTGATACTACTTTAAAGATGTCAAAGGTAAACTGACCTCCTCACCAAAAGTATCCAAGTAAGGAGAAGAGAAAAGATAGAAGAGAAAAGATAGAAGAGACAGTCTGAACTACTTTAAAGATGTCAAAGGTAAACTGACCTCCTCACCAAAAGTATCCAAGTAAGGAGAAGGCCAAGGGGCCTGACGTGCAGATCTCTGTAGTAGGATTGTAGTTCTCTGTTAACACAAACAGAACTCATTACTCCCGAGGTATCCATGCAAACAAGTAACTAATTAATTAAAGAAGAAAGAGGAATAAAAGGTGGCTGAAAAAAGAAATCCAAAAGGTAAGTTAAAAATACACTGAAAAAGAACAAGACAGCCCAGTGATTTGATAAGTATGTTTAAAGATTGTAATACCTTAATTAACAGAAACACTCCAGTACCAGCTCCACAGGTTACAGAATGAGTTTGGCATCCACTTTTCCTAAAATATAACAGAACAAAAACAAATTCTTTCAAATTCTCATCAATAATCAAATGCATTAGTATAAATAAACCAAGGTCAATTATAAAGGCCTGAAAACAAAAATATGAATGCTAAGAAACATCTGAGCATAAGAAAATTGTTGCATCAGCTAACCCACCTAATTTGAATGTTAATGTAACTAAGTGCAAGTTACAAGCACATTTAAGTTTAAAAACTCATGTTAGAGGCTCAAATTAGAGATTAGCAGCTATCAATAAGCTTTTGAGTAAATTATGTTGAATTTGAAACCAGCTAATCAGCACAGCTTAGGATTCTAAAGCAACTTTAATGCTCAGATGCTTTTCTTAGCATAAGGGGTAAAACCATAGGAAAATGGTAGAAAATGAACCTGCAGCATGATTTCCAGCTTGGGGAGCACAATCTACCGCACAATAGGCACACTGCAGGATCATCAAGATGTGATTTGCACTCAGGGCAGCGCTGTTTGATACACCTGTTTATGTATACGTGTTGTAGTTAATATAAAATAGTAATATGGTATCGTATATGACATGACACACATAAAGTATAATAAATAAAATACCTCTGCAAGAGATCCTGATAAACATTTGGTAATTTCATTAACCTAAATGGAACTGCGGGAGTTACATGAATATTACGTTGAATTCTCTGTGATTCGAATTCCTTGCAAAAATGACGACACCAAATAGAAACTGTAGATCTTGAAAGCTCATCTTTGAGAACCACATCCAGAGGGGGGATTTTAAACATATTCTCAAGCTCTTGAATTTTAATAATCTCAAACATGTTAATATCAGCACTGCCCATTGTGTCTCTTGGGATAATCAATGGTCTATTTGACATATTTCCCTCATCACAGAACGGTGCTGGGATAGAAGAATAGAGTATCTTCCACAACAATGCACATCTTCGCAAATAAGGAAAACTGAACTTCCTAATTGCATCTTTAATATCAACATTATGGTCGAAATAGTTTGACACAAAATGCTGTGAAGCACATCCAGACTCTCCCATAATTTTATTTATGTCAGTAATCATGCAATCTGAAAGAGCTGATTCGCTTGATGATTTATCTTGAGATTTCTCATAATACAAAATTATAGCCTGTGTCCAGAGGAAAATGGATTAAGGAAATACAAACACTATCAAAGAACACATCAAAGGTGAAGTATAAAGTACAAACCTGGGTTACAGCTACCATATAGAAAGTGTGCACTAGGGATAACAAAGATTCTTCACATGTTAAAAATGGATGTGGTAGACAAAAGAGAACCCACATCAATGTTGAGAAAGGGTCATGAGCAAGTACAGGATCTGAAGCCTGATTCCAAAAGCATATATCAGTGTTCGCCTGGTCCATTTCAATACGCTTCAAGACTGATAACATATCACCTGTGAATATTTAGTGGTTAAAAAATAGTACAATTAATAGCAGATAAAAACAGTGAAACACTTCAAAAAAAAAAACAGAATAAATTCGGACATATTTTTGGTATTAACACAACCAACTGAATCATCATTATTATTGTTAATTAAATAATAAAACTAGGAGCTCAGATGCAAAAGATGCCCTAGTTTGAGGTTGCTTTAATAACTTGTTATTTTAGGTTTGACAAAACAGAAAAACAGAATTCTGTAAGTATATTCTAGAATTATCTAAGGGAGAGCCTTTATTTGAAACAAACTTAGAGACAAATAAATACTAAGCAGTAAAAAGCTTTTAAACAGTTAAAAAAAATTGACCAATGGAAAAAAAATAGAATTCCGCAATTTTTATTCTAGAAGTATCTAAGGGCAGGTGCCTTTTTATTTGAAACAAGCAGTGTTGTTAAAATAGCGGATTGCCAAAAAACCAATATGCGAAATATCGGATAGCATAGTGGACAAATAGCGGAACCGCAAAACGGTTAAAATAAATAATTATATATAAATGCTAAACAAATAAAAGCTACTAGATTTATTAAAAAATTACTGACATTAAACTGAAAATATCAAGTTCAGACAACTAAACAATGCTGCAGAAAGCTAAAACATAAACTAAAAATGACTTAAAACTCAAAAGTTAAGTAGTTCAAACTTCAAAACAACTTATAGTTAGTAGTTCTTCTAAGTCTAACTAATAATTAGTAGCTCTTATAAGTCAAACTAGTGATAAAAGATGGAGGAAAAGCAACAAAGTGAAGGAGAAGAATGACCAAACACAAAGTGAAGGTGATGGAGGCACAGGGATTATGAGCATGGTAGTCAAAATCGCGATCCCACTCGTAAGATCGTACGATTTTGCGATCTTGCAACTCCCACCGTGCCAGAAAATGACCAGAATCGGTTTTTGGTAGGATCGCCATTTTTGAGAAGAACTACCGATTCTGTTCAAAGCCCCAGGAATTTGGGTTTGCGGGTCGGGTTCACGACCCGGTTTCAGAAGAAACCCTAAAAACGTTTCTTTTCTGATTGAAATTTGAAACTATTTTTTCTCTTGACATTTAAACCGTTTAAGCCTAATAAAAAGGAGTAATTAATACCCACCCATCCAATAATGAATGATTTATACAACTTCCCAAAATAACCCATGATTAATGTAACTTCCCAAAATACAGATTCACTCCAATTCTCTTTCACTAAACATCTCTCACGTTAAATAGAGCAATTATCTCACTCAATATTCCATTCTCTATCTTCTCTCACATTAAAAACAACCTTTCAATGAATATCTACTGAAATTTCAGTTTTTTAAAGTAATTAGTGTTATTTGAATTTTTTTTTTCTACTAAATTATGTTGCTGTCATATGCATATTATTAATTATATGCAATATATATGAATTTTTTAATTTGATAGGATCTTATGATCGTGTTACGATCCCCCAATTCACAATCTTGTTACCCCTACCCGATCTTGCATAGGATCTCAAGTCTGACTACCTTGATTATGAGAGTTGTGTGTTTGTTTACCTAGGTACCTATGTAATGGAGAAGACTTTCTCTTAAGCCAGTAGATTTTAAAGCATTACAAATAATACTCCTGTCAGATGTGATAAGGATTTCACTGGAATCCGTATGAGAACAGCAAATTATGAAAAACTAGTCAGTACCTTACATATTCAAAGCCTAACATTCTGCTGAAAGAGTAAAGAAATTCCAGGACATGGATGAGACTTCAGATGAGATTAAGGTGGATACTATACTAATAAATATTAACAAGATGAATAAAGTTTCCTATATTTTAAGGGATGTAAATAAATATGTACCAACTTATGATTCACCTCCTACCTCTTCTAAAAGAGAGAACTTTTAAGTTTCATATACTTCCAAGTTATTATTAATAGAAAAGAAAATGGTGGGAAATTAAAATAGTGAACAAATTAGTAAAATTGTTTTGTGTTTGAAGAAACAGAAATAGGAGAACAAGAATAATACCTTTCCCAGAAATAACATTATCTGCATAACTGAGGGAAACCCCAGAGCAAATTGATTCTGCAAAGAGTTGAATACCTCTAAATCTTTGAAGTACGTGAATAGAATTCCTACTTCGTGTCTTTTGAACAAGTTTCAGCAACATGTATAATATAAAGCCACTTGAAGATTTGAGTTCTTCATACATGGCACTAAGAGCAAAGTTTGGAGTAAAAGAAGCCTTTCCACAACGTGCAACAATCTCCATCGAGGTCAATGAGTACTTGAGAGTATCCCACATCAGCAGTGAGTGGTTAACTTTCGAAAATCTCGATAACTTTTCTTGCTTTCCCGGGAAATACATTTTAGAAAGCACCAACGAAAAATTGTCGACATTTGGTCTAGTTTTATCAATATGATGCAAAGGAATAGCTTTTAGAAATTCATCTTTCCCAACGGCATTGGTAGCAAACTTTAAGAGGTTGAGTGCTTGTTGAAGGCGAAGTGAATAAGTCCCGTCATTCAAATCAGCAAAGGGGG